GCTCCACAAGTTCTGGTGGGGTTAGATTATCTAGTTCATTATTGTCACTATACATTTTTGCCGATTTTATAATTTTCAGGATTTTACTAACTAAAATCTGACAATAAATTGTCAAACTGTTAAATTTTAGATCTGTCAGATGTTCATGGTATATATGATTTTTACTAAATTTTGCTGTGATATTGCATTTCTATTGGATGTAAACTTGTATCTTAAAGTACAGGTAATGAATGTCTAATAAATAAATTAAAGCATAGGAGTAGAAAAAAGTTTGATACTTATTAACCAGTATAGATTTATTTTTATATTTTAATGTAAACTACTTATTTGCTTTTTCTGTATTATCCAAGTATCTACTTTTTTAATTTTGAATGATTACAAAATAAAGTTTGTTTTTTTTTTTAATCAAATAGAAGACATTTTTAATGTGTCACTTATGTGTGACACTCGCCTGTCTAACATTTAAAAAAAGCCCGTCGGCGCACAGTGGGACAATTAGTAATTTTAATACGGATGTTATTCTTTTTTTTTATGTAAGATATCTGAAGTAAGGTTAAATATAATAGAAGTTATAAGGTATATTGGTGTTAAGGCCAAGTTCAATGACAAGTGACGGCGACTTTTTTATCACAAGAAATACAGCTCTGAACGATAATATTTTAAAAAACTGTTCTCATAAATGGGTTCAAAAAACTGTAAAAAATGATGGAAAGTCTATGGTTTGTTTTACTTTTAATGCATAATATTTTAATACGTGATATTTAACAAATATTTAAAAGTTATGGACTTTCCATCATTTTTTATAGTATTTAAAAGTTAAAACGCAAAATACATTCTTTTATTTTTGCCTAATTATTTCAGGATTCTTGTGATAAGATTTAAAAATGTAGGGCCCATAAGATGCTGCCATCTGAACAGACGGAATAGACACTAAATTGAAAAATTGCAACATCGCCCCTATGCAGACGAATGTAAAATGGCTTAGCCCAATTTGACCATGTTTCTGGGTGAGGGCCGAGGTGGTGTGCGGGGAAAGGTTGCAAGTAAATAAATTATTCTATAAATGCTATTTTCTGTTTGTTTTGAAAGTTTGACTTGACGTTTATGGTTTGACGTGTCATTTCAATTTAATGGACTTTAATAATTTAAAAGATGCAATGTACTTATATTATTTATATATATTGTAGATCCAGGTATGTTTTCGGTTTTTATTTTATTTTTATTTTATTTATTTGGCTAGTTTGCTAATATCACAATATTCAAATTTAGTAAAAAATAATGTAATAATATAACAATTATTTTAATAACATTCTAATAAATAGGAAATGTAATTTAACTGCATTTGTTTTGATAACAGTATTTGCATATGGTCTGTGAATTTCATTTGTTTCCGCATAACTACCCTTAAATATTTGAATTTTTCTACTGTGTAGATTTTCTTCCAATTTCCTATATTGTTTGTCCACAAACTGCATATAGTTATTACTTATCAGCTTATATTTTGTTTTAGGTATTTGTGTTGATTTTTAACAAATGATTGCAACATCATTTATAAACATTTTGCAGAGTTTCATTGACAATTAACTCTTAGTTATCTGAATCCTTACAACTTACAAGAAACATAGATAAGGACATCATAGGCAAACAGGTAAATGTAATATTAATTATTGCAACATTAACAATCATTAATATAAATTAAAAATAACAGGGGACCTAATTTTCTTCCTTTGATGTGGTTAATTTCTTCTGATCAGAACAGCGATTCTTTTGTGCCAACTCGACACATTACATACAGAATAGAGAGAGACATTACATCAAAATCGCTGTCGGTCGAACAAAGATAGGAGTCTCGATAGGAGACGTACTCAAAAGATGAGAATCCCACTACATATGTTATTTAATTTTAATCTCTCTGACCTGATACTTAGATAATCTACATGCTACCCCAATGCATGCTTTATAGCATAGATATAAAAACCACCTTTATACCAATACTATTTAATTTTTTTATCGAATAATTTTGATCAACAGAATCAAGTGCATTTTAAAGAAATACAATTAATTTTGAATTGTACATATGGCGGATTGTACAATAGGCAGTTAAAATGTAGACTTAGTTTAAACTGTGAACCTTGTTGTATACTCATCGGTTATTGTTAAACATAGTTTTAAAAATGACATTTGTTTTTGAATATAACTAGTTAAAAATAAAACTCTTGTTAAAATATGTTTAGAATATTTTTTGTACATACATAATGTATTTTGTAATAATTAAAAATCATAATATTCTTGTAAGGAAGTTGGAATGCTTAGGGTTTGATCAGTCGCTGTTGAGATTATTTTCATCTTACCTAAATCATCGTTTTAATTATGTCTTTTACAACGGATTTTCATCTTCACCCCTCACAGCAACATCTGGAGTTCCACAGAGCTCCAATCTGGGACCACTATTATTTAGTATATCGTTGAAAATTGGTGTAATGAAAACAAGCTGAATGAATGTGTCTAAATGTGAAGTATGTTCCTATACTAGAAGTATTATATATCTATAAGTTCTTGTAGCTTTGACAATAAACATATATTGATTGATTAACAAGGTGGAGTTTGATTATTTATTTAACAGCCTACATTTATCGGACTTGTGCACAAATTGAAGATTAAGGTATATTATTCAACCAAAAAGTTACTTTTTCGGATTATATTGAAAATACAGTTGCTTCTGCGTTGAAAAGCTTAGGGTTCTTAATTCGTAGTACTCGTTCTTTTACAAACTCTTAAAGCTTGGAGATCCTTTACTTTTCTTTAGTTCGTTCCAGGCTAGAATATGCATCTCTTATCTGGAACCTTATTTACAATATTCATAAAAGATCATTGGAAAATGTTCAGCGGCGATCTCTCAAGTACCTTTCTTTTAAAATAGATGAGCTGTATCCCATTCGAGGTATTGAAGAATCTCTGCTTCTTTCGAAAATAGAAGGGTAGTTCCTAGTGTTACATTTTTTTATAAAATATTACATAACACTATTGATGTACTATTTTTGATAAATTAAATAAATTTTAATGTTCCCCAAACAGCCATTAGATATCATAAAACATTTTATACAGCAAGTATTTGAACGAACTTGGGAAGAAATTCACCTATAAGGCTAATGTGCTCAAATTTTAATTAATTTTGTTCTGATTGGGATATTTATTTCGACCATTAGTTGTACTAATTTGTACCTAATGTATTTAGGATTTTTTCTTTTTTTTTTTCTTGCTGTTGCTAAAATTATTTTCTGTCGAAATAATATGTTTAACAATTATTTCATGTATTTTGTTCTGTAAATGGATCAATTTGTTGGGTAATAAAATTATTTTTATTTTATTAAGCAAAAAAATGTTTATTTTGATGCACCTACCACCTTTAAAAGTTTGTCAGTATATTAACGAGAAATCCTATATAATTCCCAAAGAAAAATATTTTTGGAATAAATTCCGAATTCTATTTATTGATATTTGTTATTTTTTAGGTTCAGTGACTCGAAACATGATGATCAGCTACACCAAGAATATCCTTGATACTTTAAAAAAATGGTACGAGATTAAGCAGATTTGATGCTATGTCACATTGTGGTGCGAAGATGTGGCTTGTATAAATTTGGGATATCAGTTGATAGAAAACAGTACGCAAAAATAAATGTAAATCTGCAGATGCATCAGAGATAGCCATATTCCATACCACAATATGTCATGCGTGAACTCGATGAGATTTCATCGGCTAAGTATCATTCCTCTGTAATGTTTTGTATCATTAGGAACACGCAACATTGTAAACAATTATGACCAGGGTTTTCTGACCTTTTCCCTAGGTCAGAGAGAATAAATGAATACTAAATAATGTGTAGTAATAAAGATTGAAAATATATATACTTTTAAGAGTTTTATTGTCAGCCATAGTTTTATACCAAAAATGAAAATAAACTGAAATTATACATTCATAAATAACTATATTTATAACACTCATCGACTCTCTCCTGGCTAAAATATGACTTATCTATTAGGCTCTGTTCCGTCTATTTTTTGCCTTTAGCTTCCTTCTGACACTTCCATTCGTTCATATTCAGTGTAGTATATGCATAGTTTTCAGAATATCAAGTGTTATACCTATCTGATGCTTGGTCCTGCAAAGTTCATCTTCAGTACACCTGCTTATGTGACATCTATCTCGATGTCAAGTTTGATTGAACACCCGTTTCTTGCCTATTACTCTTATACTTAACCAGAAATAGCTTAGACTTGAACGCATATGTCTAATTCGGCCAAAACACAGCCTTGGTACACAAATATCTATTTTACCGCTGGTTTCATTACAAAAAACTGGAGTAAAGGGTAAAATTATCTCTTGTCCAGTACACTCGTATAATACACTTGAGTATTGCCTATATTATTTTTGATTGAGACGTATACATACATTTAAAAATGTCGTTTACTTAAAAATAAACATTTAATTTTGATATTTTATTTAACTCGATCAAAACATTAAATTATTATTTTCCATGGCTTATACCGGACCTGTATGTACTCTAGTAGCCATGGAGTAGCTGACAGTGTTGCCGTCAGTTGCCGCCACATATTCATTAGTGACATACGTTTTATAAATTCATCGTGTTACAAATTTGTTGACATAAAGAGATAGAAATTTAAAGTGACGTCTTTTATTACTTCGAATGAAAAAAATCGATAATGCAATTTTCTAACCTAAAAAAAATCGTGATGATATGTCAAACAAAATTGAACTTGGCCTTAAGTACTCAAAATTTTAGAACAGTTATTGAAGGACGGACGGACCATTTTAAATGCAGGTCATAGTGCGGCAATAGTGTTTTTCACTGAATTGATATTGATATTAATATATGAATATGAATTTGTTCTCCAAGCATTGGTGCTCATTACAAGTATTAAAGTATTATTTTTCTACTCATTGTACATTTTTTTAATAACTTAATACAAAAGCTTACCGGATCATCCATAATAGTTCTAATCCTTTCCTCTGGTCTTTTATCCTTTTTTGTTCTTATTAATAAAATCAATTTCTTTATTCCAGGACACGATCTGAGCATTTTTTCTACTAAAACTTTACCCATGAATCCGGTTCCTCCGGTAACAAATATCGTCTTGCCCTCATAGAGATCGGCAACTCTGTCTGGGTAACTGTTTAAATCTTCTGACATATTGAATTTCTGGAACAATAATTTAATTAATAATCTAAATTATAATAAAAATCGTATAGCTATAATGATATGCTGGGCATGTAATATAGCATTAATAAAATATACGTTATGTATAGAAGAACTTTTAAATAGAACAGACGTACAAATAATTTTTTATGCTGCCACTTTAGAAAATGCGTTTTTCCGATCATTTTTTAGCTCGAAAAGTGCGTCGTTGCCGGCCTAGATCGGAAAATTGACATAACTGCTCGGCAAAGTACTTACTTTCCCGAGCTGTTATGTCAAAATTTTCATTAAAGACAAAATACCAGCGTCTAGCCAGAGAGAATTTTCGAAGGGTATGTTAAATATCACAGTTGCCATGACAATACCGTAGCCATCTGTCAGTAGATGTTTTTAACGTTTTGATGCACTTTGTGTATTATAATATGTTTCTAAACCGTTTAAAGATGAGTAGCGATGAAAGTGACGAAGAAAACATTCCATTCGAAATTTAAAAAGCGGCAGCTGCCGCCACTAATGCATTATTGCCAACAAAATCCAAGGAAAAATATGAAAAAGCCTATGAATTTTTCGAAAAATTGTGCAAGAGAAAAAAGTAAAGGTAGGAAATTAAGATGTTTTGTTAGCTTATTTAGCTATAAAATCAAACACATTTAAATCATCAACTGTATGGAGTTTGTATTCAATGCTCAAAACAATGTTAATAAATAAGAAGGACATTGATATTAGTAAATTTCTGAAGTTATTACCTTTGTTAAATAAAATAATCTGTGGGATACAAAGCAAAGAAGTCTAAAGTTTTTAGTAAACAAGTTGTAAATACATTTTTGACAGAAGCCTCAATTCTTGAGTATCTTGCTATTAAGATATTTCCAATAATTTTTAGTGGCTGCATTTAAAATTTGGACTTTTAATTTTTTTGTCACCGTGATGAATTAAGTTAAACTGACCGTAGATGACGTGCAAGATAAGAATGATATGCTAATAATAAACATTCCTAACATAAAAACAAACATACAGAGAACATTTCTCGTTGTCGACAAATTCCATTTAGAATTATATAGAACATATTTAGCCCTACGTCCAAATCACATCGCAGATTATTTATATTTTTTAAAAAACAATAGATGGACTACTCAAACTATTGTAATGCATTACATGGGAAACTTCCCTGGCAAAATAGCTACATTACATATCTAAAATTTCCTAATCCAACAAAATATACTGGCCATTGTTTCCGTAGGACTTCAGCGCATTACTGATTAATGGAGGTAACAAGTTTGAAACGCCACGGAGGATGGAAATCTTCGGCTGTGGCAGAAGGTTACATTGAAGATTCAATTCAGAACAAAGTAAAACCAGCAAATAAAATTCTTAACGTAGAAAATAAACAAATCCAACCTGGAACTTCAAAAATCGAATCCAATATTATTGATAACACAAATATTATGATTCCTAAATTGACCTTTGTAACGTTTAATAATTGTACTTTGCGTAACTGCACATTCAACATAATAATAAATGAGTTAAGTTACTGAGGCCCTTCCTATGGTGCCTCAATATTGCATTCGTGCAGACGAAAAAATTTTCTTACCCCCATTTTTTAAAACTTTTGTCATGTTTCCGATCATTCTGAGTCCGAAAATGCAAAAAAAAATTTTCGTCTGGTCGTCTGTATGTATGTATGCCGGCACGATAACTCTAAAACGAAAGTTCTGATTGACTTGCAGTGTTGATTTTCTTGAATAATTACTTCTAACTTAGAACCCTATTGATTTTTGGTTCATCCTAACTACTTTTTTTTAAATTAAATTCTTAAAATCCGCATATGAATTTCTTATGTTAAAATTTTAGTAATTTTAATTATTTCTAAGTCAACATTCCTAACATTCTTAAAATTCCATAAATTGCAAACATTATCTAACGACCTGTCAAACAACAGCTGTTGATAGTAAAGGTGAAATTTCTAAGGAGGGTTGTGACCTTCATACTTGCAATCATAGCCATTTTGGAGGCTATTTTTATTCGAAATTAGTAGTCAAGCCTGCCAATTTATGAAAAATATATAAGCAATTTCTTAAAAATGACTTTTTTATGGTGGTGCTAACTTAAGCATACTACTATTTCGCCCCTAGCCACAAAAGCACCTTCATCAAATTTATTAGCTCTCTGTGGCAACCTCATAGAATAATTAACCGGCCATTTTATTTGGCAAAAATCAGAATAATGATTGGCTGTGTCTGTCAAGTATCAAGATGTCAACTGTGATGTGTGAATGGCTCTTAAATGTCAAATTATTTAAAAATGTATACTTCTTTTGATATTTATTGCAAATAATTTGTAGTGTATCTCAATTCAGGCTTTCCATAAATAAATGTACAGCAAGAGAGCAATGTTCTTATACAAAGTACTTTTTTATTATATAAAAGAAATGTAGGATATAATGCCCATTTCAAATTTGGATAAATTATGATACCGAGGTATTTTGTTGTGTTTTTCATTTTAATTATAAAGTTGTCAATTATTTGTATGTTGAAAGAAGGCTTTTGTAAATTACGGTGCTCTCTATGGATCTACTTTAACACAAAAATAGTTTTGTGGCTATAAGTTGCTATAATCTATCGTCGCAAAACTATTAATAATTTAAATATAGTAAGTAGTATTAATATAACATCAAGTAATTTTTTAAAATAAAGTACATGGTCTCAAAACAAACAATCTATAATAAATGCGGATAAAACGAGGGGTAAAATAACAATAAATTAAAGGAAATACTTAAAAAGGGTAGATTTAAAGAGTATTATCACAAGAAAGTATATCCGTTCTGTTTATTTATCAAGTATTGTTTGAGGTTACTTTTGAATACATTTATTGTTTTTTTTTTAATTTCTGTAGACAGTCTATTAAATTTTTTAAACATTTAATAAAAATTGTATTTTGGGAACTTTTAGTGATGGCTTGCCGTACATGAAAGTCAGATTGGCTTCTTGTATTATAGTTGTGATATTGCGAATTATATTGATTTTTTTCTAATAGATCTGATGCGATGGTTCTAAGTCATTTTTATTTTATAAATAAATATCAGTCATGTACTGAACATAATTCTGAACTGAAAGCCAATTTATTTCTTTTAACATAGTTGCAATACTCATCCTTCTGTCCTTTATTAATAGAATATAAATAGGCGAAGTAAGGAGCCCAAATATTTTACATGAGCAGGCTTAAGAGGTAAAGGGGCCAATTATTATTGGACAAATTGCTCGAACAAGTTTTTAAACCCTAATCAAAAGGCGATATAGAATGGTTTTAAAAATCAAGGCTTGTGAAAATCATCACATGGTTTAACTTAAGTAATGCCAATTCTTCACAAACCAAAAAATTCGACGTGCTAATACCACAGCTTATACAATACAGCTCCACAACTCCGTGTCGGCGTCTTTGATCTGGCGGTCGAGAACCAAGCAAGACGGAATGGTGCTATCTCTGTTAGATTCAAGGGAAAAGTCGGGCCCGGATTAAACAATTTTTTTATTATTGAAAAAATTGAAAACCTTGGCGTAATAAGGTTGGTCACATGCCATATTAAGTAAGTTTTGGGAAATTACATTTTTAATTTGTTTAAAATCTTTCAAATATAATTAAAAAAATTATTTAAATATAAATATTACGAAAAATAGCACATCTTTCGGATTAGAGGTAAAATAATTTATATATGGCTAGTAAAATCCTCGTTAACAAATGTTTTGAGCTAAAACAGTCACTTCACGACAAATTGTGGCTTGGATCCATTTTACACCTAGGGCTTCAATTGTTAAAGAATTGTGTCACGCTCGTGGATGCAAATCAAGTGGTACCCCCGTGTCTCTGGCAAGTGTTACTCTTCGCGCAAAGGGTTTATACCTAGATAAACGAATGCTTCGACTGAGGTCTGGGAACTCTATGGTATTTTGGAATTATAAAGAATGTGTGCTTTTGTTTTAACAATATTGGTTATATTTAGATGTATTCTTATTATTTGAAATACAGATTTGTAGAAGTTATACTTTGACAGTTTTTATTAATATAATATATTCAATTTTTATCTGACCATACCGAAGTAGGAAATTTTAAAACTTTATAGTAATGTGAAATTTGAATTACAATATTACAAGATATAACATAATTAGTACTTATTTTAGGTAGGTACTAAATTTGTACTTGGAGAAAGTAATATCGATTTTTACAAGAAAACTTGAAAAGTAAATTAATTTAATTCCTATTTCTGATGTAAAACTTAAACCAAGAAAACAAATAAATTGTAGTTTGTTCAACAAGGGTGGATATGATAGCCATATCACACAAAGACGAAGTTTGAGCAAGACGTCGTAGGCGGAGAACTCAATCGTCTGATTGTGATATGAACAATCTACTCGATATGGTCAGTATATTTTTTCTACGACCCACTAACGAAAATCTACAAATTTAAAAAATTATTTTAGGTTATTTAGACAAAATAACTAATTTTAAAATAATTTACGAAGTTGACTAATTTATAAAATAAAATAAACATGAAAAATTAATTAGTCCTCGGCCTAGATTCGATCCCGGACTTTTCGCGTGGAAGGCAGATGCTCTGTCTTCATCTTCACCGAAACTTTCAGGACTTTAGTTTTAATACTCGTAATTAAATTAGTATCATGTAGTTTAATTAAAATTTATTTTTTTTAAATGTGGACACAATAGAAACAAAAATGCTATTATTTATCGAGTCTGCACAAAAATTTTAATGTATATTTAATATCAATAACTAAAATATATATTGACAATTAGTTTAACAGAATTGTCACTTATTTAAAAAATTTTAAATAATAGGAGTTGGGTGACCAAAATATGAACTGTGATTTGTAGATTTAATTTTGTTAAAGTGTTCTTACTACCTAAAATGGATATGAAATATATTCGTAGTTGAACACAATAACATACTTTTTCGTTTTGTAGTATGTGCGTAGATTGGCTAATATCCATGC